AGTTGGACCTCTTATCTTTTTTCTTTTAATTTGGTCTTATTGAAAATAAAACCCCAATTCTCCCTTTAGTTATCAAGGGAGGGATAAGAAGAAAAAAAATTATTATGTAGCTTTTACCTGTGTCAGTAATTCACTGTTTTACTCTTTCTACTTCAGTCTGAGCTGTCTATGAGTTTCAAATAGAAGTAGGTGAAAAAGAGTGAATGTGCTCATATCTTCCCACTCTTTGGGTCAGTGTGAGAAACTTTCTACCGTGTAATTCCTATGGTCTATGGTGGTTAGGGATTCCTGGCTTTCACCCAGGCGGCCCGGGTCTGATTCTGCATGTAAAGAAAGGTTCCATGGTGTACTGCTAGCACTCTGGACTTTGAATCCAGTGATCCGAGTTCAAATCTCGGTGGAACCTTGTTTTTTACTTTATTCGGGCGTTCGTTTCTAGCGAGACAAAAAATCATAGCACGAAACTAAAAACAGCAGAGGATTGAAATTTGACAGTTTTAGGAATGGACTTCCGGTTGTATCACGATGAAATTTACACACATCGGTTGATTGTTGATCGGTTTCTTGATTTGTATTAATTTATTTAATTCGTCCCTCCCATTGTTCTTTATGGAGGGTGTTATCTGCGGAAAGTTATTGCAGTGAAATTTTAGAGTGAAGTCTGGTAGGTTTTTTTATTTTTAACATTCCAAATATTTGCATTTGTCATAAAATATATCTAATTGATAATTAAGGCGATAATTCAAATGCTTCTTTTCAAAACATTAAAAGTGAAAGAATTCTTGTTAATATAATATAAAATGTTATATAATACATTAAATTCCTTTAAAAAAAAATTACTTTAAGATAAAATTGACCCTGTTTTCCCACAAAATATATGAGAATTCAGGAAATATTCCAAAATATTTTAATAACTACTTTTAGCATAATAGATAAAAGGGTAACGCTTTCATCATTGAATTATGTTTTATATTATTTGTATGTTGCAAAAAACTATATTTGGTTGTGCTGTTATTTTATCCCTTTTTAGCTGTAGCTGAAGACAGTGCCTGAGAGGGTTGTCACTGAAGCAAACTAACTGTCTTGAAAATTCCGCAATCGCGTCTTGTCAAACTATTCCAAAATTGTCGGTTTCCGTGTGTTTATCAATCATTAAAGTCGAAATAAATATTGAAATCGATTTAAAATACTTTTGAAAACCATCCATTGCGTTTATTTCTTAAAAAAGTTAAAATGTATTTTAGATTGAGTATCCGCCTCCTTAAATTCGAAAATTTTTTAATAAAATTTTCGAATTAATGTCGATTGAATTTTTAGCAATTAACATTTAGGCTAGAACAAGTTAATTTAGTTTTCCAACAGGTTTTATTTTTCACCCAGATATTTATTTTTGCGTCATTGGAGGAAAAAGAGAAAATTCTTCACTGACATAGATGACATTAAAAAATAAAATAAATGAAAAAGTCGGGGTTTATCGGGGCTAATTTTTAGACATTTTATAGAAGATAGAGTGCAGAAATGATTTAAGGTAGTCTCAAGGCGTGCAAAGTTGTGCAAATTTTTAAAATTCACTTTAAACTTGAAAATTTAGTGAAAAAAGGGCCTTTTAAAATATAGTATAAAAATATGGAAAATAATAAAATGATGTGTTAAAAACGGTTTTGTTTACTTGCCCTGGAATCCGACATCATGAAAAATCTAAAATTAGACAGATAAAGAGCAATGTAGGACTTTACAGAACGAAATCCAAGGGCTCACTGAAACGCGACTCAAGTGTTCGAAAGATATTCTTCAACTTTAACCTCCGTAAAACCCCCTAAGACTACATGTTTATACAAAAAAAGTTATGGCTTTCAGGGTTCCAAACGGTTCTCTACCTACCCCCGAAGAAAATAAACCCATTTGCCGACCTCGAAATTTCGATTTTTGTCGCGCTACAAACCGAAACCGGACCACTGTGGGCCGGAGGGAAAGCTCCGATTTCATTAAATAAAAGCTATCATAAGTATACGCTCTTCGAGTAAAAAGGTGACTTTTTTTGTGAATCCCACTTCATACATGGTATCAAGGCAAACAAATAAAATTATTTTAAATACAAATGAAGTTCGTTATGTCTTCCAAGATAAGAAGACAAAAAGCGGAAGTTTTATGTTATTACTTTCTCGTTTACGAAGGAACGAAAAAGCCGATACTCTGGCCAGACGTGTTTCAGAGTCCGATCTCAACATGCAATGGGTTACAGCTGAAGATATCACCACACAACTTAAAGTCCATTCAGGAAATCAAACAGACGCTACGTACCGAGGAAGTAAATACTATGCAACTCTTGGCAGTGGCGGACTGGGTCTGAAAATAGTGGTTGCCAGGAGTCAGTGAGGGCCCACACATATCTACAATCATAATATTAATTCAGATATATATATCTTATTTTTTATTTAATTTTATATTTAATTTTTAATTTTATATTTAATTTTTAATTTTTTATATTAAATTATATTAATTTAAATCTATAATATTTAATAATTATGTATTCAATTTAATTTTTTATTATATATTTAAATTTTCCGCGTCTTTAAAATCAATCCCTTTTAACACCCCTTAATTTTCTATGTTTAAAATAGCGAAATTATGATTAAAGTTATTTGATTTGAAATTCCGGAAGTTAAATATTTCGTATACGGTGTTAGCGACGAAGTATGAAGAAGAAATGCTGCCCATTAGTAGGGCATCTGTTGAAAGAGCCAGGAACCTTTAAAACAAACTTCTTTGGGTGATTTATAGTTTAGTAATTTGTACTGGTAATGTTTCAGTAATTTGTAATTAAACTGGATCATTAAAAAATATTTTTGAATTACAAGTAATTCAAAAATCATTTTGTTAGATAGTATTTTTTGAAAATATTGTCAAAAAACACCAAAATCTTGCTTAATTTTTAAGTAACTGAAATTTTAATTTACTTTTGGACTTTAAAAAGTTGACAATTATTTTCATCTTTTTTTGAAGAGCATGTGTGCCAAATTTCATAAAGATCGAGTAAAACTATAGATTTGTACAAAATACATCCTTATAATGTAAAAAACTTCTTTTGTTATATTAAAATGCAGTCCATTTTCATTGTTTCGCCAGTTTTTCCAGTCTTTTTCTTTCCTTCTTCGTTACTTCAAATAAATTTAGTTTTTGATAGATTTTCTATGTTATTTTAATAAATTTACTTTTTAGCAATGGCATTAAGCTCATCTTTCCACTTAAGGCAAAATAATCTTCCTGGAGATTATGCAATTCATTTATTTGATATGATGAGGTTGAATTTTCACTTTATAATAAGCTTAATAATGCGCAACAATTGTAGATTATAATTATGCAAAATTTCAAAAAATAATCTTCATTGAATCTCGTGTTTTTAAGACTTCTTTAACAGTGGAATGTAAAGACTTATGTCAGTAGTTTCATTAGACGCAAAAACATACTGCATCAAAATTTATCTCAAATGCTAATACATTTCCTATCTACTGTCTTTTTTCTTTTTTTTTTCTTCTTTGCACAACTAATTTCTTTCTCAGTCTTTTGTAGCAATTAATACTTTTAACTTAACAAAAATTAAATAAGTTGGCGAATTTAAAGTTTGTTAATATAATCAAACTAAGACAATTAATAAGATGGACGAGTCAGTTGGTAGCCGAATGCGGCTAGTGATTAATACTACAAAAGCAATGTAAAAATAGAGAAATGATAGTTTCAGATTATCTCTTTTTTTTTTCTTTCCTTTGCAAGATATGCTACATATGTGTGTGTGTCTTAACTCTCTTACGACTAAAAACAGAAATAACACTTTTCTAACCAATTATTTTCCATGAAAGACAGACTAATAAGACTGATGCCCTCTTTAAACGAAACCCCTTCGCTCTTCTAAACGCAAACTCCCCCCAAACGCATAAAGAAAAGCGCGAGTGTCGTCTTTTCATAGATATCATTTAGTGTCCTAGTCACAGTTTTAGTCAAGAAAACCTTTTCTTACAGGCGAATTCCCTTGTTTGTCAGAGTTATGACAGTAAAATTAAACTACAAAAAAGAAAGAAAAAAGCACGCCTTATAGCTGTGTCTCGCGATAACCGCACCCTTTCTGCACAAAGGGATACAATTCCTTCAGTCTTTCCGAGGGCTTCCGAAACCAACAAAAAATTTTAATGAGCATTGCGGCTCGACTTCGCACTGAAGAGCTATCCTGTTCCAATAGCCCGAGGGTTTGTGCGATGGCTGCAACATTCTGGAGAAACATCTGTAAATGATCGGAAGGTCAAAGGAAGTGGATTGGACAGAGACCTCAGTACAGTTCCTACGGGCAGTTGTAATTGCGTATGCATCTTGGGTCGGTATTCGACCACCCGCTGTTCGGGTGGTCGAATTACGACGGCAATAAATCCCCAAAACATGGGCCTTGGGTACAGGGCTATTTTATTTCATTGCTTTAGAAAAGCTTACTATAGAGAAAGAGAACTTTTTTTCTCTCCTACACTTTCTGGGGGCCCAAATTGTCTTCTGTTTAAGGGGCCCACTTGCCATCGGGCAAGCTGGCAACCTCGCCAGTCCGCCACTGACTCTTGGTGATATTCCGTCCATCCAAACCATAGTGCCTTGGTTAAAGAATAGAAGAGAGGATATTATCATCGCCCGCATAATCTCACGTATGATTATAACACCAGCATTGCTCCATAGTTTTGGGCTAAATGACAATCCTCTTTGCTCAATGTGCAAATGCGACAACTCCATCGAACATATTCTACTCTACTGCCGGAAGTATTCTCTCATCAGGCAATCACTCTGTCGCCAACTCAACATTAATCTTGCTGTTCTCTCAACGTTTAAATCTTTCATCTCAATTATCTGCTCTTCTCAGCGTGCTATTCGTACTCTCTTTTCCCTGCTGAAGTTTTTCGACATTTTCTGATTTTTCTCCTTGAACTGTTTCTTACTCCTTTGGATACTTGGAGACGAAAGCCCTGGCAGCTATAAGTCTCAAAACCTACAAAAATTTCAAGTCAAGTCAAGTCGTTTACGAAGTATACAAAGTATTGTAACCGTCAAAAAAAAAAATCGAACTCGAGTTTTTGACGAATCTCCCCGTTTTAGACCTCCCTGAGTCCGAAAAACACAATTTTGGAATTATGTCTGTCTGTCTGTGAACACGATCACTAGAAAACTATTATAGCTACGGGGATGAAATTTGGTATGTGATCTTTACACATAATTTGTAGGTTTCTATCAAATTTTGGAGAAAATCCGTCTACGGGAAGTCTGTCTATCTGTCTGTCCGCGGTCATGTGAACACTGTAACTCAAAAACTTGAATAGGTGTATAGATAAAATTTGGTACACAGTTTTATCATCTTGAATGTAGGTCCGTATAAAA